GTGTGTGTGTGTGTGTGTGTGTGTGTGTGTGTGTGTGTGTGTGTGTAGTCCCGCAGCGTGGACAAACAACACGCCGTCATCAACTACAACCCGACAACCGACGAGCACCTGGTGAAAGACCTGGGCAGCCTAAATGGGGTGAGAAACACACAAACACACATAATGCGCAGCTCATTAAGCTCCGCCCCCTGCGGCATCACAAGCTGATCGGGTTGAAACTTTTTCTTATTCGTGTTTTGTTTGTATTTTTTTCCTGCAGACGTTTGTGAACGACCTGCGGATCCCTGATCAGACCTACATCACCCTCAAACTGTCCGACATCATCCGCTTCGGATACGATATCCTTCACACGCTCTCTGTGTGTGTTTGTGTGTTTGTGTGTGTGTGTGAAGCGTGTAGATTATTTTCCTGAACATCCTCTGCACATTCTCATGTCTATGTTCTGGAGAAAAGTCAGCACAAAGTCCCAGAGGAGGCTCTGAAGGTCTGGTTTTCTCTCTTTTTACAGACTTTAATCCTCCATGAAATCATTTTTCATCACTTTAAAGTAAAATCCAACATTTGTTTTCTTTGAACTTTGTTTTTCTGAGCAGCCAGTCCTTTAAAGACATGTTCAACAACCGTTTTGTAAACATTTTGAAGCTTGTTCAGAGTTTTTCTTTAGACTTTTAGCTTATGTTCCGGATCTTAATCGAGTCCAGAGCATCTTGTGTGTAAAGCTGAGGAAAGGGCGCACAGACGACAAAACAAGTGTCGATTTATAAACGCCAAGACGTATAAATATGAACGTAGCACGGGCAGACGTTTGCACAGTTTAGATTGTGACCAAACTGTGTCTTTTTACTTTGTCACAATTTCATTTCAAGTTTTTCTCATGTTGCAGCATGAGAAGTACAGCAGTCAGCTGCAGATGAGTCTGAAGGCTGCAGAGGGGAAGAAGAGTGATGAAGACGAGCGGCAGCGAGGCGATAAAACACTGAGCACCAAGAGTCTGACCCAAGGTACAAATACTACAAACAATCTGTGGAGAAATGAATAAACACTGGGAACTCATTGTTTATTTAGGCTTTTGGCGTAGTTTTTGTTAATTTTATCCTATAGCACGTGACAAATTCAAGGCCCGTGGGCCAAATGTGGCCCCCAGGTGACTCTCATCTGGCCCGTTAAGGGGGTCATACC